GACTCTCTTTGGGCGGTCTGTATCCAAGCATGGCCTGCGGTACACCACTCTTGTGTCCGACGGAGTCAGCCGTACCTTCGCTGCCCTCACAGAAGAGAATGTGTACGGGCTAAAGCCAATTGTAAAAGAAGAATGTCTGAACCATGTTCAGAAAAAGATTGGAAGTGCTCTTCGAAACATTGTGCAGAAAAGTGATAAGCCACTGAGTGGGAAGGGGAAGCTGACTAAAGCCCTCATTGAAAAGCTGACAGGATACTATGGTTGGGCCCTGAGAAACAATTCAACTGACCTAACAGCCATGCAGCGTGCAGTGATGGCAACATGTCACCACGTCACATCGCCTGACCAGGACCCTCACCATGAACTTTGCCCAGAGGGGGCTCAATCGTGGTGCCGCCATAGAGCTGCAGAGGCAAAGCGTGAGCCACAGCCAAAACATAAACACAGCCTACCGGACTATGTCGCTGCAGCTATGCTGCCCATCTACGAAAGACTGTCACAAAAGTCGCTTCTTCAGCGCTGCCTGGGAGCGAAGACGCAAAATGCATCAGAATCATTCCACTCCATTCTGTGGTCTCTGATGCCGAAGGAACAACACTCATCCTTGATCGCGGTAGAAACAGCACTGCATGAAGCAGTGCTGCGCTACAATGCCGGCTGCTGCAAAGCAACCCAAGTGATATCGGACTCCATTGGACTTCAACCAGGTCATCTGGCCATCCAGCGAGCTCGTGAAAAAGACGCTTTACGCCTAAAAATAATTCTAAAAGACACCAAGAGAAGATGGAGGCCAGGCAAAAGAAGAAAAGAGTGCGCCAGGACACTTCTAGCTACTGTGCTGGAGCTTTTTGAAGAAAACACGTGTTTTGAACTTTCTCGGCCTGTTTTCTCAGAACGGATTTTTTTGCTAGTTGTGGTGCTGAGGAAAGCAAGAACTCGAAAACTGTTCATGAGATTTGTGTGCCGTTTTTTTTTTTATTCTGTTCCTGAACGACCTTGCAAGGGCGTAACAAGCTCCTTTTTTTGAAAATTGATGCTGTTAATTTATAATAAACAATTAATTTTTGATGAATCTGGTCATTACTGGTTACATCAAATTCAAAGTTGCGTGAAAATTTTTTTTTGGGGGGGGGGGGGGGGGGATTAAAAAAAAAAACGGCTTTGTAGCGCCTTGGGATAGCTATCAAGGAATGACCACAATGAATTTCAGCTTTCTACTATGTCCTGGGATTTCTCACGAATCTTCCTCAGGCACCCATGTGAAGCACCCAGTTAAACCTCAACAACTCTGGAACTAAGAAACACAGCTTCGTGAAACTTAGCAGTTGTGCTAGATTTATTGTAGTGAACAACCCCTGAAAGTTTCATCCAGATATCTTAAATAAAAAAGTTCGGTCTTCAGGGTAGCCTCCCCCCTTAAGTGATCATCGAGCCGTGAACACGTCTCGAAGTAGCAATTTTCGAGAGCCATGTCCTCGCGACGCACAAGCAGCAGACGAAGATCTCCCGTAGCGAGCATCGGGCCAATGGCGAGGCGAGCTGAGGCAACATGGCGGCCACAACCAATCAAGAGTCCCGAAACGACCTTCAAACATTTGCTTTTTGTGCACTTGTTTTTAAAAAGGGAGGAGCAAGCTGAGGCAGGAAAGTTAAACACAAAGAAATGCTCTTTCCGATGAGCCCAAGAAGCCGGCTCCCGGCCCCACCATCGCCAAGCCATAATTTTTTGAAAATCGCTGTTTTCTCGCGATTTCCAGAAAAAGTTTCGCTACCTAGGTGGGTGAAATGAATTTTCCGAAGCACTTCTGGGCGGTTTTCAGGGTAGATATTTTGGAATCAGATAGAAAAGGGGTTCCAGAAGCTAAAAACTTGATTTTCAAAAAATCTATTTTTTTGTCATTTTTCGCTATCCCAAAGCCGCATCCTCTCTTAAGAAAACAAAAATGGCGGTACCCACACTAGCGTGACAAAAGCAGACGTTTACAAATTTTGAGTGCGCATAACACGCATACGAGCATATTTTCGACAGTTAGCCTTTGGCGGAAGCGTAAAATAACGCCCGCACCGTGGTAGAAAATTCGTTAACGCGGAATCGCTGTCCAAAAACATTTCGTTGCCGCGAGATACGTAATACATGGGTTTCTATAAACGTTCGCCGCGGATCCGGAAATATTTTGTTGCCGCAGAGATTTCGTACTCGCGGGTTTCAACTGTACAGTAAAAGCTCGTTAATTCCGATTTCACGGGACCGGAAAAACTGTCCGAATTAACCGAATGCCGAATCAACGAATGAACATGGAAAACAACATTTAAAATCAAGCTGCAGAAGCATACCTTTATTTGTTGAAGTATTTTGTAATTGTCGTCTGCGTTTGCGCGCAGATTCCGGCTGACATCACAATTTTTCTTAACCGTTCCAAATGGCCAACAGCACGCAAGCTGTCGGGAGTGTTCAGGCAAGCGTCCTCTAATATTAACAGCACCTCCGAGACTTCCCGTGAGGTGCGATGACGTCGCGGCTGTATCTCCTCGCATGATTCTTCGTCGGAATCGTGGTCTTCATGGGCGCCCGTGACATCATTAATAATTTCTTGGTCGGTCAGGAGACCACTCGTGGCGACACCATGATCAATCGTGATGTAGTCCTGAAAGGTCACATCTGTGGGAAGGACAGCATCGAAAGTCGGGCAGTCATCGTCGGTGGACTCGGCTGACACCACCTCGATGCCATCGTCAGCTACTGCTGCATGCTCGGGCCTCACAAAACCGCTGTGCCAAAAACTGTTGGCGATGACTTGCGGCGAAGTGTTTTTCCACACGTGGGCGATGATGTGCACTGCGCCGAGTAAGTCCACTTGATACAACTTTCCAGCTTCTGAGCATAGGATCATTCGCTCTAGCAGGTGCTTGCGGTACTTCGACTTCACGTAGTGAATGATACCCTGGTTCATCGGCTGAAGAGCAGACAGTGTTGGGCGGCAAAAAAACTACTTTGATGCTCTTCAGTTCGACTGTACAGTTATGGGCACTGCAGTTGTCAACAACCATAAATATCTTGCGGTCCTTCGACGTGAAGTGCCGGTCCAACTGCTGCAGCCAGCCGCAAAAAATGTCCGATGTCATCCATGCTTTCCTGTTCGATGTGTACTCAACAGGAAGGCTTTTGACGTTCTTAAAACCACGTGGCTTAAGCGCCTTCCCGACGACAAGTAGTGGCAAGCGCTCCGTGCCAATCATATTAGCGGCAAGAAGCACAGTTATCCTTTGCTTGCACTTCTTGCGACCAATGCACGCGTCCCCTTTGAAAGTCACCGTCTTGTCGGGCAGAGCTCTGAAAAACAGCGGTTTCATCTGCATTGAACACGTCACGTGGTTCATATGCGGTGATGTGCTCCAGCAGCTTCACATTTCTCCACTCGGTGGTCACGCTTTCGTCAACACTGGCCTTTTCGCCGCACACACTCCTGAAGACAAACTCGTGTCTCTCTTGAAACCTCGCAAACCACCCTTCCGGAGCTTTGAACGATTCAATGTTCATCATCGCAACGTACTTCTCACTTTGCGCCATGATGAGAGGTCCGCTCAAAGGCAGATGAGTGTTGTGACAGTCAGTAATCCACCGGAGCAAAGCTTCTTCGAGCTGGGGATGAGCTGCGGTTCGCAACCGCTTTCTAGAGGCATGAAACTTCTCGCTTTGGAAGGCTTGTTGAATCTGTTCATTTTTCACGTACGTTCCCAACGTGCTCCGCTTCACGTTGTACTTGGTCATAACCTGCTGTCGCGATTCGCCGTTCTTCAGTGCTTCCAAAATTTCCACTTTAGTCGCCAAGTTCTTCGCGTCGTAGTTCTGCCGCTTTTTCGGCGTTGCCATCACTGTAGCGCACAATGGTGGTGGCATGCAAATACGGTCACAGTGGAAGAAAAAGAGAACTCCGCAAAAAGAGATGGTTCCGACACGACAACACAAGGGAAAATGGCGTCGGAGGCGCTGAGTGGAGAAGAAAGAAGACGCCGACGTTCTGTCACGCTGCGATCTAGTTGATGATGATGGCGATGCCACTCAGGTTTTCGTTTCACTCCAGTGGTGCAAGCGCTGCTTTATCACACTTTTGTGTAGCAGCAGCCGTCAGCATTTGTCCGAATTAAGCGGTGCGGAGCCGAATTCCGACGAAATAACAAAGGTTTGGTCTCATAGATTAACATGCACTTTGGCCGGGACCAATAGAGCCGTCCAAATTATCCAAGTTTCCGAATTAATGGGTGTCGAATTAACGAGCTTTTACTGTATTGGGAAAAAACAGCGCGACATGTTCATAGCTACTAACAGCACGCGATGGGCTTTCCACAGACCCAAATCTGGCAAGTTCCCTGACATTGAAAAGGCAGTCCTCGAATACGTGAAGGAGATGCGCAAGGACGGTTATGCAGTGTCATTAGACATGATACAGACACAGGCGTCCACAGTTTCCCGGAGGCTGGGAATAGCCACAAAGAACTTCGGCGTCAGCTCCGGCTGGACAACACGCTTCATGCGGCGGAATGGACTGTCGCTGCCATTTTCAACGTGCTCGACGGAACGGAAGATGACCCTTTGTGGGACAGTGGACACTGCCGGTTCCGACAGGGAATCGTGCAGCGATGACACTGACGTCAGTGATGCTTCGGAGTCTGAATGAACGTTAGGGGGTCAGAGAGTTAAAAAATAAAAGGGCAGTGTGCCATGCATGTAGCTCCTGCATAATGCGTGCATTTTATTACAAAGGTAAGCCTTATGTACTTTTAGTTTTGGTTATGTTCATGATAGCTACCGTAAGAATTCTGATTAGCGACTTCTTTACATTTTCGGTGCTCAGAATATTTTTTCACGGAAAATTTACCCCGCGTAATGATTGCATCCCGAAGTTGGAGTGAATTTTTTGAAAAAAAAAAAAAAAGTGCGATCATTATGCGAGTATATACGGTAACTGTAATAAACCCCAAAAAGTATGAGGTTGACCCACCTTCAGCAACAGTTTGCGGGTGATGCGGCTGTGGCTGTGATGGTTGCTGCTGCTGTGGTTGCTGTTGTGGCTGTTGCTGCTGCTCCTGGCGGGAACAGGAAGGCACCTCAGTCGCCCGGCCCAGCAGCGCTCCATCAATGTCCAGCGTGACGGTGCTGTTGGAGGCAGAAGCCGCCGCCGCTGCCGGAGTGGGAGCAGCGGCCGCTGAAGCAGGTGGCAGTTTGTTCTCTTTCTCCTGGTCCGGAATCGCCATGGAGACCAGTGCTAACAGCCTCAACAGGCGGTCCGTCAGCACGGAGCTCCGCTTCACGACGGGGTGCGCCAGCAGCGAAATCAGCTGGGCCAGGGGAGACGATTCGAAGGACCCTGCACAAAGAGATGCCAACGATTGTCTCATCCGATATAAACACAAGCACTAGTGAGAAAAGACCAGAGCGCCAACTCCCACCATACACAACACGAACATCAACAGAGAAGGAACAAATGGCTGAACAGTGGCTTGGGCTGGTTCTCGATTTCTAGGCTTGTGCATGTATTCGAATGTTTCAAATACTCTGCGCAGGAAGCCACTCTGGCTTCATGCGCAGCGCTTTCGCGAAGCGGTTCACCACTTCGAACTAGAACTAATCGTCACACACCAATTTGGTCTGGCCACGCTGGCTATCTTGAATGTTTACCAGCGCCACCTGCGGAGTACCCAAGCACCGTCGCGCCGTTTTGTTTATGCAGCCCACATGGCGTTTGGCTACCCTAGTGTGTGGTTGTGCGATCGTGTGAAGTGTGCTCTGCAACGCTAAGCCTAGGTGCTTCGACGCTCGTCAGCAAAATCCTTTGTTCACATTGTGAGGATTTCGCTTGCTTGCGATGGCCCCCACTCCGCCTTCGTCGTCCTCGCTGACGACATCGAAGAGCGAAAAACCTCCGCTCTGCTGGTGCTTCCTTGCCCACGGAAATAACTTTTGAGCGGTTCGTTGACGCTGACAACGAGCTCGACTTATGCGCCGAGCTAACCGATGACGAAATAATCGCAGATTCAGACGACTCCGATGTCGAAAAAGAGGAACCAACGCCTGCGCCAGCTACGACTGCCGAATTGATGTGAGCATTGATGACGCTGTCATCGGCGTACAGTGATGACATGACCTTTGCTCAGATCGAGGCGAATGTGATCACATGCAAGCGGAACGTTGTTCAAACAAAGATAAAGTTTTTCAAGCCACTGCAGCTCTAACACCACCTGCCCTGACGGCACCCGCTGTCGGCTGTATGCATTTCTTTTTAACGGCTCTTTTCAGAGCCACCCCACTGATGCTTTGGCAGAGTTTCGGAAGTCTGGTACTTCGACCTTGCCCCACTTGATCCGAGAAATATCAATGAAATGGTGCGTTTTTTTGCTTGCATTGAGAAATATTAACAACATGGTGCATTTTTTTCTTGCATTGAAAATTATCAGTAAAATAATGCGTCTTTTTGCTTGCATTCATTTTTTCAGACTGCCCGAATTTTCGGACGGCTTTTTCGCTCCCTAGAGGGTCCGAAAAATCGGCAGTTGACTGTATAACGAAATTGAAGGAGAACCACAATTATTTCGTTATATCCATTATTTCGTTACATCGATCACAACAGTTCGTGGCTATGTATGCTCAGATGGGCGCACACCTATAAGCATGCAAAGAAAGAAACCGCCTTGTGGCCTGATGTACCGCTATGCGACCACGCATGCGACGGAAAATCAATACAGTCTAATCTCATTAATTTGAACAAGCTTAATTCAAACTTCTGGATAATTCGAACTCACGCTGTGGTCCCGTCAAAGCTACGTGTATTCCAATGGGCGAAAACACCCTGTGATTCGAACGCGCAAGCACTTCGGACAGTTAGTTCGAACATACCGCGCTCCGAAAATTCCCTCAGCACCATGCCCAATCCCGCGGCGGCACCTCTCAACGCTGCACGCGAGGAAGGAAAAGAAGAAAAGGGAAGAAAAGACTGTGGCAGATTGTTTGCTCTTTATCAAATGCCGAACTGCGACGCGCCTCTGCCACGCTTTTCCCTTTTTCGTCTCTGCACGTAGAGACCCTTCTCCTTTCAAGGCTGCGGGCAGAGAGAGGAAAAAAAAAAGCTGTCACGGAGAGTTGGCTCTTTCTCTAATGCCGATTTGCTGCTCTCCGCATGGAGACACTTCTCCTTTCTCGGTGCAGAGGGTAGCAATGGAAACCCAGTCGTTGCCGTTGTCTTTAGAAAGCGTTGGCACTGAACTTAGCTACGCACTATTATGCTTTGCAAACGACGTGTGAAATTGATTGACTAGCTGCAAGGCAAGAGTGTTCAGGCGCACATTACCGATTACCGAACAAACAGAAATATAAGTAGAGATATTTTTAATAAAATATTAACCTAAAGTCGCACCTCGTCTTATATAGCGACGTCTAGCCGAAAGTGCGCCGCTGTCTGGCAACATGTGGCTTGCATGTGCTGGAGATGCCGGACATATCTCTCTCGCATCGATTCATAATTTTTTTATGTTCAAAAGGTTGTTATACCGGCTTATATGCTCTAACTATATTAAATATTAAGACTTAAAATATTTAACAGGTTATAACTTGAATTCTACCAAAAGACAAATCCTGCTACCATTCAAAGTTGTTTCCCCTTTTCATCTTTGAACCAAAAAATATCATTTGCACAGGCCTTATTTCCATTTTAAAATATACCTATTGTGCAGGTTAGTTAGGCCATGGCAAATACGCCCATTTTGCTTCCTAACAGGTGATATAGTACTATTAGAATACGATACAAGATTATCAGACGAAAATCCCTATTCGCTTCGAACCTAAATTCACATTCACACAAGATTTCGCGTTAACATGCTTACACAGAGCGAAATGAAAGAGGCTCCGTTTTATTCCAAGCTGTGCCAATACAGTCGAACCTCGATATATCGAACGGCGCGGCGATTCGCGAAATAGTTCGATATATCCAGAATTCGATATAAAAAAATCACGAAAAAAATGCATCAACAGCTTGCTGAAAGCAGCCAACGAACCGTTCGAGCGTGGTGCAGTAAATACTCACTTGAAGATTCAAACATAGTATTTATTGTGTTGGTTTAAAATATTGAAAAGAGTAGCCTGCTTTTTGTTGGCCACTAGCGTGTTTGACGACTGCGTCCTCAATATAGTCCAGGCGATCCATAAGTGATAGGCCGGTGCCTTCAATCGCGCCGCAGTGGCGGCGCACAAGGGCCGAGGCAGCTACGACCTCAGCTGATGTCGGGAGCGGGGCACCATCAGCGCTTGTGGGATCCACCTCGGCAGAGTCTTCATTTGGACTGCTCAGCAGTAGCTTCGGCGACAATCTCCACATCCGTGAGGCCTGCCGTTCGGAGTTAAGCCTGTCGCGCACCACAGCGCGCGACAGGCCTAACTCCGAACGCACGAACACTGCGAGCACAACGACCGATGCCTGCCGATGCTACAGGGGAGGAGCTTGCAACAAGTGCGCAGTGTGCCGTTGACACCATAGAGACTGCAACGACTGCAAGCTGCAAGGCTGCAGCGTGAGTCCGGGTGTAAAGCGCGCACATGGCGCGCCCATGCCTGCTCGCCTGACTGCTTTCCCTTTCTCGGCGGCAGTGCGGGCCGCGTCCGAGACAGTCGTCTGCGTCCTTTCCCTCCCATTCTTTCCTCCTCAATCTTTACCTCCCACTCCCCCTTTCCCCGCGCGAAGCCGTGTTGGTGCCTTCGTATTGAAAGACGATAACAGCTCCGCGCTTTTCTCTTCACTTTCCTCATTCAAGAACCTCTACCGCAAGGCTGCGGCACGCGTACGCCGCTACGTTAAGGGGGGACGTGGCAAGTAAAACTAATTTTTTTATTAATGCACTGTTTGTGATGAAATTTGGTGTGTGTATGTGGATGATTGTGAGGATTCCAAATATGAAAACCGTTTTCAAATACCTTTTGTACTTTTTGAGTTACAAGCATAATTATACTAATTAATGCTCTTCACACTTAAAGAGATAATTATTGCTAAATGAAATTATTTTTTCATATTATTATGTTCCCAAAGCATCAACTTGTGCAAAGAAGCTATTAGTTGATTTTTCTAGTTCTTGTAACCATAAATAAAATTTCCAAAACATGAATGTTGTTTTGCGCACACATCGCAGTAATTATAAAATGTGTTCTAAAAATTTTAAATGATGAGTAAGAAGAGAGATAAAGCTTTATTGCACTGCTAAAGGCCTCCTGAGCCTAGTGCAAAAAACGGAACGACTCTATCAGTCTTTGTTAGAAAATGACGGATGTTCTAGCGAAGGCACATAGGCGAAAATCAAGAGTTGAGAAAACTGACTTTGAAAGTTCACTCTTGTTTGGAAGTTCACAACATGCCTAAAACACTCAGAATCCTCCTGGGCAGTAATCCTGAGATGCTGTGGCCTTGGCCTCTGTAGAGCGCAACCCAGTTTTGCGCTTCTTTGTCGTGAAACAATGCGCTTTTTGAGCCCTCTTTACCCTTTTGGCATCCTTTTCGGCTGCTCGCCGCAAAGAGCAGTCTCCTGGATTGAAGCCCAGTTGAGCAGTGATCTCTTGCAGCGCACTCTTGCATCCACCATTGAAACGGCAGACTGCATCTGCAACTGCACTTTCCACACTTCGAAGGGAGGCGAACTGGCTCTTGGACTGGAGTGACCAAATGAGGCTGTTCATACTCTCCACAGCGTTCTGGGTTTTTCCCTGCGCACACCTTTCAAGGAGCTCTTTGTTCGAGAGGCGCTTGTAGATTGGCAGCAGTGCCACTCGCACGTGAGGGGCAGTTTATGTTTGTGAGGCGGCAGCGGCTCTCCCTTGGCCAATGCCTGATTGTGCGGGCACCAGGAGTCAGTCCCACTTGGGCACAGGTTGTGGTGTGGATCCTGGTCTGTGGATGTTACATGGTAATAAGTGGCCATGATGGCCCTCTCCATGCCAGGAACATCGTTGGGGTGGCTCTTAATGGCCCAGCCATAATAATTCGTCAACTTCTTTATCAGGCCCTGCGTCAGCCGGCCTTTGCCACCCATGCTCAGTCCTCGGCCTTTGGATTTGTGCTCATCAAGAAGGTTGCGCAAGGAAGTGCCCATTCTTTTTTTCACATGGTTCACACACTCCTGTTTCTTAATCACCATGTAGCCATACACCTTGTCTTGCGTGAGGGCAAGGTACGTACGGCTGTCACCGTCGCAGAGCACATTGATGTATCGAAGCTTGTACTTGGTAAACGATCTTTCAAACATGATCCTAGCTGCTTCTACTTCATTTGGCCTGCATTAGCATCGGTGTTCTTTTGGCACTGTGGCTTGTGTTTCTCAAGCCACTCCTCATAGTTGTAGTCACCAGGCTTGGGGCCAACAGCACAGCCTTGGCAGTAGTTGGACAGGACACAGTGGTCCAAGACCAAGCCTGTGTACAGCTCGATTACACAGCCCACGTCAATATGACTTCTGTGCCCCCTCGTCATCCACGTGCCGTCGTAAATGACGTCAATGTTGCCTGGCACTCCTCCTAGGTCCTTGTAAATGTCATGCACCTTCTGTGCACTTTCTGCTTCAATGCGGGTGGCAGCTGATGTGGTGGCAGGGTGGCTGTACTTCCTTTGCAGTCTCTGGTAGGACTTGTGGTGCAGTGCTCGATGCGAAATGTCCATCGCAGAAAAAATGTCATTTATGGCAGATTGTTTTCTGCCAACTGACTGCACAGCCCTCAAAACACGCACGTTTACCTCAAAGGGGTTCGTTTTTTGTTGCCCGGAGCACCTCGGGGACGACCACGCACTGTTCACTCTGCCACAATTGTCACAAAAAGTTCCATCCTCGCCGCGAGTCCAAGGCAGTGCGTAGTCTCGAGGCGTATCGACCCTTCGTCGCACTTGTTGCACTTTACTGACGAAAGCAGACCGTTCAGCATCTTCTTATTTACAATGAAGAATGTGGAGTCCTTACCGCCGTCATTTTCGTCGCAGCCTTCGTTCAGAAGCTCGAGCTTCCGCTTTGAAGCGGACTTCGATGCTACGGCATCCAAAACATCCCGCCTTGTCTGCGCCCGCTGCGCGATTTCTTCACTGCTCGGAATCTGGGCCGAAACTCGCGATAGAATGTTCGACGCGCGCACGCCCGGAGTTGCAACGGCTGCCGACGCGGTGCCACCGCAATCGGGTTCGCGAGAGCGTCCATCACGGTCGACGGCATCCGGCGGTCTGACATACGACGATGTGGCACCTTCCACACTCTCGGCCTCACAACAATCAGCGAAGGGTCTGAGTAGAGGCTCCGTGACGCTTGAAGAGCATGCTCCGTCCGGAACTGCGACTGGGACGGCAGCCGCAGTCGTCTGCCCTTTGTTCCAAGCTTTCCGACGCTTGCCGTACTTGTGGACGCTCCGGAACTTTTTTTGCGGCAACATAGCACCGCAGTATGAGCAAGCACTCAGAAGAGACCACCGATGTAAACAAAGCTTGGTAAAAAAAGCACGCGAACTATCACAAAAACAGCAAACTGGCAAAAACGAAGCGCACGCCGGATGATTCTCGACACGGCGGCCGCAGATGCGCTCGCGCTTCCAAGGTTGCCAAGGTGCACGGCGCAGCTTTGACCAGTAAGAGGTCGCGCCTGCTACCCACGTGACCCGCGCAGCCAATTGCCGTTCTTCGTTTTCGTTTTTTTACTTGCTCCTCGCGCTTTTATTTTCACTCGGCGAAATACGAGACCGCGACCATCGGGAAGCCGGCTTTCTCCTCTTTCCAAAGCTACCAAAATGGCGGCCCACGGTCAACAACTTGGCGCGTTTGTGCGGCGTGAACAACACCGTTTCAGGGGCTTTTTTTTCGCACTTTTCGGCGACTAGCCTCGGCAAAAACACTATTTGCGGGATTTGTAGCGCACGTTTCGCTGTAATATTTTAGAACAAGGAAGTTGAAGGTCTGAAGATTACGAAAAAAAATAAATCAGAAAATCGCATATTTTGACCAAAATCGGCACTTTACTTGCCGCGCCCCCCCTTAAAGTGGCGCTCTCGGCGCCATCGATGTGTGCAGCATTCGTAAACGCCCGCCGCTCTACCGCTACTTTCGAGAGTTGTGGGAAAGCTCGCCGCCTGTCAATGGAGCGCGGGCGGTTTGGGGTGACTGAGTTCGATATATCCATTATATGTTAAACTTTGTTCAAAATAAAAAATCAATCATGCATGCGATTTCCCACGTGATATAGGAACCGTTCGATATAGGCAGTAATTCGATATATCTGTGTTCGATATATTGAGGTTTGACTGTAGCAGTGCAAAATGCACACACCTGGGTTGCTTTCCTCTTCCGGCTGCGCAGCCTTGGGTGCACGCTTCCCCATGCTGATGCCGGCGGCGTTGCAATCGAGCCGCACCAGGACGCTCCAGAAGTCGCCGTCCTTGCCCGGCTCGGCAGCCAGAGGCGACGACGCGGCCGACGTTGAGGGTGCCGACCGGGAAGATGGGCGGCTCGAGGTGCCGGCGCCGCCTGCACTCGCCTTGCCGGATGACAACGGACCCGATGGCCCGCCACGGACTTTCTCGGGGAGGAAATGGACGGGGAAGCTCTTGGCCAATGAGATCAGCGTGTCCAGGACATGCCTGGAAAATTAGGGCATGCCACACTCACTCAAGCAGAATTTTCACACGTGAACGAAACGAAAAGTCACAATGAAAATTTACTGGCATTAGTTATCGCTGGAGATGTGAACAGCTAAACAGCCAGCTTGATCAGACTTCATCGGCATCCTGACAATGCGTCGAGTGTATTGGCACAGTGACTTATGTAAAGGGAATTCCCGAGAAGACAATCAGTGTTGTAAAAGAACATGTCAAGTGTCTTAACATGCAAGCATAAGGCCTCATTTGCAAGCAACGTTAACAAGGGTTAACAATATTAGCTCAATATGCTGGCGTGACATAATCCTCAATCTCGCGACTAATTCCACTGTCATGCCCCGCATTTTGGCCAGATGGCTTACTGCGCAGAGTGTCGACGATAGGTGGTATTTTGGTATGTTTTCACTGCTGTGAGCTCTGTCCTTTCTTGCTTGAGTTCAACAGACTACCCACGGTTTGATTATCTCTTTAGCAAGTGCTAGCTATGCTTCTGGCTTTTCAGATAATTCAGAACAGCTGATCGACTCACCGGCAGACGACCGGCGACGCCTGTGGGTGGATGGTGACCTGCGGGCAGGGGCGTCTGCTACTGCAGTGCCGCACAATTTGAAAGACGCTCGTGCGGCAGCCAAGTGCAGCGTCCAAGCTGATGGAGAGCCACGACGGCTGCTGCTGCTGCAAGCCAGCGGACTGGGCCTTGCTCAGCTTCTTGCCTCGGGAAGTGTGCTGCTGCAAACCGGGACTGGTCGCGTTCGCGGCTGTTGTGCCATCCATCGAGGCACCCGTTGCCTCGAGGGGTTTGTTCTCTTTCGTCTTCTCCAGGATGGACAGGAGGGACTGTGCACAGGTTGAAGGCAGGTACAGCATTCACGCGATGCAATGCCACAGCCTAGGGCTTCACTGCTATCCCATTCAGTTTACGTCACATTGGCACAACATTGGCTCATAAGCTAGCACAAGACCCAAATCAGTTTCAGTCGCTAAATTTTTGCAATTAAGGGGGCACACGGGTCCTTGGGGCCGAAAAATTGCCCAAAAACGCATTTTTTTTTAGATGTCATTTTTGAAATCTACAGGTATTCTTCTATTAGTTTCCTCAGTTTTTCCTCCGAAAAGTTGGTACTTGAACAGTAACAGCTACTTATAAAAGCCGTACGGGCCCGATTTGGCGAGATTCTGATGCCAAAATGGCAATTTTTCAATAATACCCCGCAGCTGCGCCACGGGCAGTATCGCAGTGATCTAGGTCTCATTTGAAAGCGCGGTCTTCGGTCTTCAATTTCCCGCCACTCTGGCTCCTGTCCGCTCATTGGTAGAGTAGAAAACACGCGCCAAAAAAAGCAAAAATACGCGTTCCTATTCGCCGGCGAGCGCACGTGACTAAACAGCGCAACGCGATTGGCCGCAAGCGGCGTGTGTCGTCTGTTTCGCGCCGTCGGCGGCGCAGTCAGGTGCCATATTGCTCGGACTGAGAATGACGGATTAGCCAAGGATCGCGCGCGATGTGGAAAGCCGGAAGGAAATTCAACACAAGGAATCAGTACGGCAAAAAAAGAAAGAAGTCGCTCCTCGAGAACTTCAAAGGCCGTTCCGCGTCAGCGAGGAGCACTGAACGAGCAAGCGACCCACCTTCCGTGGCCAGCGGCGAGGCCCCTGATAACATAGGCCTAGCACCTCCGCCGCCGCCCGCTCAAGATAACGCATCCGGCAGTGGCCGCGTTCGTCTTGACACAGCAGTGCTGCACCCGTTAGAAGTGGCAGAGGTGCGTCGCAACGCCGAAAACAAGCTGCAAGAGCTCGCTTCAACTGGAGCAACACAACGCAAGTGCGACCTGTTAGCCGATATCGACGATGCCGCAGCCACGCCGCTGGACGAAACACGGTTTTTGATCGTGAGTTTGGACCAGGTGAACGAACTGATGCGTGCAGTGAAGTGCAAATTGTGCTCTGGTGATGTAAACATCGGCAAATAGGACAGGGAGTACGGCCTTGCCGTAAAGCTAGTGCTTACGTGCGCGACCTGCGGCGATGTGCCGGTGGCATGGAGCTCGCCGCGCGTTGACGGCGAGAGCAAGGCAAAGCCGTTTGCCATCACTGTTATGGGCGCGCACGCTATGCAATCTACTGGCAATCAGCAAACGGCATTCAACGACGTTTTTTCATCGATGAACATTTCTTCGCGCGGCCTGCACAACAAAACGTGGCAGAGCTACGTGAAGACGAAACTGACGCCCGCAGCTGCTCGTGCGTCGGAAAAGCTGACCGCGGAGTGCGCGCGATCGGTTCGGGAACTGTACGCGGAACTGGACCTCGGCAACCCGGGCAACATCGCTGTGTCGTACGACGGTTCCTGGATGACGAGGGGACACTCGTCGCACATCGGAGTCGGCACAGTTATCGAGTTGTTTACGGGGCTTGTGCTCGATTATGTTGTGATCTGCAATTTTTGTGCCGGCTTCGAGCGGGCGCCTAAAGAATGTGACCCGTCCTACGACGAGTGGAAAGCGAACCACCACTGCCAGAAAAACAGCACAAAAAAAGCTGGAGAGATGGAAGTGGAAGCTGCCCTCATTCTGTTTCAGAGGTCGTGGGAGCGTCATAAGCTGAGATACACTACAGTTCTTTCTGATGGCGACTGCCGCACCTACCCTGCTTTGAGGAAGCAGATGTGTATGGTTTTATAAAGGTAACCAAAGAGGAATGTGTGAACCACATGCAGAAGAGGATGGGCACGCAACTGCGCAATCACCCAAGCAGAGGCCAGCTGGCTCCGAGAGCCTCAGTGGTAGGGGGCGGCTGACTGGTGACCTGGTTAACAAATTGGCCTCTTACTATGGCTGGGCCATCAAATCTCACAAAGGGGACGTGCCAGCCATGCACAATGCTGTGATGGCCACATACCACCATGTGACGTCCAACGATGCCGTGTCCAACCACAGCCTGTGCCCTACAGGTCCTGACTCGTGGTGCCGCCAGAACGCTGCCAAGGCCAGGGGTGAGCCGGCCCCCAAACACCGCTACAACCTGCCGCCGCATGTCTGTGAGGCCTTGCTTCCAGTGTACGAATGCTTGGCGGACAAGAAGCTGCTGGAGCGCTGCCAGCGAGGCAAGACTCAGAACAGTAATGAAAGTCTCTACTCTGTGATTTGGTCGCTGGCCCCGAAGGAGCGCCATGCATCACTGCACAGTGTAGAAGCTGCGGTCGCCGAGGCAGTGATGAGGTTTAATGCCGGAAGTCAAGTAACATCATCCAAGATCCTCAAAGAGCTGTGCTTGAACCCCGGCCTACTGAGTAGCAAACGCATGGCTGAAAAAGACCGCCGCCGAACCAGGGACTCTACCCTCAGGCGTGCGTCTGCAGAAAATGTGCAGCGGACGCTCAAGAAGCGGCACCTGGATGCCAGCAGTCAAGGGGACTATGCTTCTGGGGCCTACTAGTCATTTCGCTCCAAAAATGTACAGAATGTTTTACCGTTTACATTAAACATGGCACCGTTGCGTTTTTTGCCATTTTCTCAAAATGCATATTTTTGACGTTTAGGAAATTCTTGAGAGGTACATCTCGGCATGCGGTGCAGCTAGAAAGATAATTTCTTTTGCATTGTCAAGCTGAATGTTTAAACCTTGAAGTAAGGAAAACAGATTTTGCATTTCACGTTTAAATAATTGTTTAAATAACTGGTTAGCAGGCATACTTTAAACCGAGAAATTAGAATTGATGTAAACTTGCATGTGTGATTGCCAGACAAAAAAAATGCTTCCGTCATTTCATTCTCCACAACTTCTAGTATCTATTCATGCCATGCTGGTAATTTTTTGTTGACTAGTTTTTTTTTCTATTGTTCTCAAGAACAACCACGAAAGATTTTTAATTATCTCGGGAACTAATTAGCTTACATCAAAACTAATTGGATATTTGAAATCAGCTAAAAAAAAACTGAACAAGCCCATGGAGTTTCATTAAAATTGGTTGGAAAGCAAAAAAAAAGTTTCTAAGACCAGTGTGCCCCCTTAAATTAGAGTTGAACTTCTTAAGATGTAGCAGACTGATGTGAGAGACTAATGGGTATAAGACACACATGCATGACTATACTAAAATAGGAGTTCATAAAAAAAATGCATACAGTATGACGTCCCATTTCCCAGATCCTCAAGGAACCACAAAAACGTCCAGAAAACGAATACAAGTGAAAAGACTTTTCAATAGGTATTTTTCACTGACGAAGAGGGTCGCCGCAGGAGTACAGGGTTCTCATTGCAATTCAGCAAAAAAATCGTGTCGCTGTACACTGACGACAGTGACAGTGCTCACTTCAACTTTGAGCTCTTTGGCTGTGTAGTTGCTGCCTTTTTGATCTCAGTGTCGTTCGAATCCTGCGTAACTCGACAAATGGCTTCGTCGTCAGTCAATTCTGCACACAACTCGAGGTCTTTGTCAGCGTCAGTGAAGCCGTCAAGGATTATCCTGGCTGGAATCGAAACACCGGAAACGTGCAGATCGTCGACGGCAACGACCACGGGTGGAAGTTCATTGCGCACGCTTTCCACTCCAGGCGAGACTGCCATCTCTCGGCATCAAGTATGAGGCTCGCGCGGTGAAATCAGTTCAGGAAGGTCTGTTGCGTAATAGCCTTCTACTAGACTGCAAGCATGCTGTGTGGGGGTGCTGACACCCCCGTAAAGTTGTTTGCGCCGCGTGGCGCACGTGTCTCGCCCAAAAGCCACGTTTCAAGTGAAAATTACCGGGCAATAGATGGCGTTGTGTTCGCATTGAGTACCACTATCATCAACATGGTTCTTACAGTGGTAGCACTGGCGGTGACTCCTGGCGGAAAGCAAGCCTCGGTGGCGAGCGAGAGTTGAGTGAGGTTCTACTGCGCGTGCCGGTTGTTGCGAACGGTTGTCTATAGTGTGGGTAATCAGCGCATGGCACTGCGGGCCGAGCGTCGGGGCCCCTCGTAGGTCAAGCGTTGGCGATACCGCCCTGAGTGTGTTACTGTGTTTGTCATGCTATTGTGTGTTTGTCATGAAGTGTATGGTAATATTGTGTACGGATGTCCTAGGTTGTTGATAACGATTGGTGTATAGATTAGGCGGACGATATCGGCGTTGTAAATTAGTTAAATAAATGAGTATTGTTCTTTGGTTTGTACCAACCGCGTCTGCCGTGTTCGTTTACTCCAAGAGCGTGGCGTGGCTGTCGCTTGCAGTTTCGTGACCCCACACCTGACGGTAGACCATAGGTCAACAGCGTAGCTTTTCTCACTGTTGCAGCACAAACTGCCCAGCACTATAACAGGAATAACACCACCATGCTGTCTAAGCTATGGCTGGCAACGAATTGGTGTGTGCTGGATTGCAGCATTGTTGGTTTCCAGGGTACGGCAGCCACGGTGCGGCAAGTTCGAGGGTTTGAAAACAAGCAAAATGGCCGAGTCGATGGTGACGTCGATTCTCTGGTTAACAGTAAAAAGTCCGGAAAATCAGACGGTGAAAGTCATAAACGTCCGGAATTTCGGACATTTTAATACATTGACTCTATGGGGAACTTGACAGCACCACAGATGAGTCCAGGAAATCGGACAGGTCCATAATTTCGTGCATCCGAAAAATCGAACGTCGTCTGTACCTGCTTATAAGAGACACCTCATAATAAAAACAAGAATTGCTCCCCGATGCACGTCTCTTATAAGGGGGTTTAACCGTGGTGATAATATGAATACAACAAAAGCTCATTCAAATAAAACTCGAAGAGGACTATAGAATAGTTTAAGTTAAGCATTTAGCTTTAGCATTGGCAGACAGCACTAGAATTAACGGACATCATGCCACATAGTGCCGGCAGAACGCAACACCGTAACTTGTGAACTTGTTATCAGGAATCAACAGCCCCAGACACTGGCGCCCGCATGTCTTATGTAGACTCATCTACAGGTTTTTTTGTGACAACAGAGCCTGTGAACCGAACTTTCTGAAACCCCAAATTCTTGCCCTAGGCACCTACCTTGACAACCCAATGTCGCGTGGGTGGGTGGTAGCAGAGGTTGCGGAGCACTCGATGCAATCGACCCGTGTTGATGCGCGGCTCGTCCACAAAGAGAAGCACGAGCAGGCAGGCCAGGGCCTCATGGTCAAGCAGTTGACGACCGCGGGCCTGCTGAGAAGTTGGTGGGCCCAAAGCACCTCCGCCGGAGGAGCCACCACCCGCACCACCCCGGGAGGACAGCGCGTTCCATGTCCACTGGCCCCGATGGTGTGGCACCGTGTGGATTGTGTAGCGCGTGCCCATGCGACCTGCTGGAAATTGCAATCAACGACAGACTGATGTAAAACATAGAGGCAGGTCAAGTCACAAATACACAATAAATTGTGCGTGGTAAACACTGAAAGAATGGTTCATCGGGGAGCTTAAAGTTGGCATTTTGCAGGCAAAGGATCCGCTGCAAGCAATCTTAGCATTGCTGAACTTACCCTTTAAAAGAAAGAAGAAAAGTAAAAAGATAACACTGACCAGACATTCAACCTTTCTTTGCCATCTGATGGCTACCGGTTAGGTCAAATAAAAAAACCAACTTTGAAAAGCATTTGCCAAACAGAACAACCAACCTTGAAAGGCATTTGCTAGACATTGTTTAGCACGTCAAAAAAGGAATTCAATTCTGTAATGTAACTAGAGTAGCTTTCTCTAAGGCAACACGTAATTACCACAAGTTTCACAACCACTCCCAATTTACCGTATTTACTCGCATTTCGGCGCACTCGCATAATAGGCGCACCCCTAGTTTGGTCGCGGAAAATTCGATTTTTTTTTAATTCCGCGCATAATAGGCGCACCCCGAACTTGGCCGTGATCAGAAACGATTCTACACCCCAGCGGTGCAGTTGGAACACGGTCCCCGTACCCTGAAGAAAAAAAGAAGGCAAATCGACGAGCAAATAAAAAAAATTCGAAGTGCAACGACCTAACCAACGTGTTTGTCGAAATAAAACTTGAAAAAAAAAAGCGTCTATGAGCGAAAAAAGAAAACGGCTGTTCCATCAAATACTGATACCCCCCTAATCGCCCTGCTTTTTGGAGGTCACGTGTACAACGCCGGGGGCTCGATCGCCATCACCACCATCAGAGAAAAAGAAAGAAACGCCATTTTGCAAGCGGTGTGCGTATGTTGTGGTCGTGTATTGAACTTTGGTTCCACCATGGGGAAGTACGCGAGCTACACGGCTGGGTTTAAGGGGGGACGCGCCCTTTGAAAACCGAAAAATCGTGAAAAAGTCAATTTTTGGCAAACCACATATTCGGGCAGTATGTGTCATAAACTACCTTTTCTGTAAATATTATCACGCACGACGATACACTTCACGACAGGCAACCACGCTCACACAACCATTTATTTCCCGTGCCATACTCCGACCGCCCCCGTCCCGACTTCGACCGCCCCGTCCCCTTCTCCCTCTTTCCGTGCGCCCCCTCACTGTTCACGTGACAATCGCGCACGCCACCTCGTTCCTCCACTGTCAACCACGCACAGCCTCAGAGACCCCTTCACTGTTCACGTGACACTCGCGCACGCCACCTTGTTCCTCCACCGTCAACCACGCACAGCCTCAGAGATTCACACCCAGCCTACCGGCACTCCCTCTTATTCCTCACAACTCTCCCCCCCCTCGAATCGTGAATTCGGGGCGGAAGGGAGAAGCAGTGGTTCATGGTACAGTACCAACTGATCAGCATGGGCAATGGTTCGACGACGCCTCGTAACTGGGTCACCCAGGATGAAGTCATTTTCACCAACCTGCCTGACCACACGATAAGGTCCACCTCGCCGTGGTGCCAACTTGGCCGAAACACCTTTGGCTGCATTACTCAAGGTATGAGTGTCCAAGAGCACGAGGTCACCCTCTCTGATGGTTGTTGACTGCCGATGACGGTCATAAGTTGACCTCTGGGTCTGCCAGGCAGCTGCTTGATGCTTCTTGGTGTACTTCAGGGCTTCTCCAAGGCACTGCTGGAGTTCTGCAACAAGGGCATGGTGCGCTGCCTCTGGAGGTTCCGTGTCCTCCTTGTCCCCTGCAGGTTCCCACGGAGTGCGCAACTCTCGACCATAGCAAAGCAATGCCGGAGTATATCCGGTGACTACGCTCTCTGCAGTACGCATGGCAAGGCTGATCTCGGGTATATGACGGTCCCAGTCTTTGTGGTTAGTGCAGTAGGCTCGTAGACATTGCTTAATTGTGCCATTATGACGCTCCACCATCTGTCCAGCCGGCCGGTAAGGCACAGTATGCCGATCTCTGATTCCCCAGTGTTTCAGGAGGTTGCGCCATAATGTGCTGACAAAGGGCTTCCCATTGTCACTGGTGATTGCCACTGGTGTCCCATGGCGGCAGAAGACCTGAAGCATGCACTCAAGTACTTTTGCACTGGTGGCTGCTCGTAGAGGGAATAGCTCTGGGAATTTAGTAAACTTGTCAATGACTACGAGCAAGTATTTGTGGCCACGAGGTGTAGGCGGCAAGGGTCCAATAATGTCAACGCTAAGCTCCTCCATCGGTGCTGTTGCCCACTGACTGCTCATCAGGCCTTCAGGCTTTTTGCGCCTGGGTTTTGTGCGCTGACATATAGCACAGCCCTGCACATACCTTGATATGTCCGCCCGCATGCCCAGCCAGACGAATCGTGCTGCTACACGTCTCAAGGTTTTGAAAAATCCAGCGTGGGCCGCAGTGGGATGGTCATGCGCCATTTTCAATGCCAGGTGCCGGAGGTGAGAGGGCAGCCATGGTACCTTCTTGTTGCCTCTTTGCTGAACAAGCAGGCCACTTGGCTCTAGTTCTGTTGTTTTCCGCCAGATCATGGAGAAGGCGATGATCAGGGTCTGAATTTGGAAGCATAACCCCCTGGACCACAGTTTTCAGTTTTGACAGACGACTGTCACGAGCCTGCTCTTGTACGAGTTGCGCGGTGTCACTTAAGGCAGTCATATCATCTTCCAAGGCAACTGCCACTTGCTCAAATGTAATTTTCCCTTCAGGTTCTTGTGCAGCAATAGGAAGCAGTTTCTCGTGCAAGCTGTCGCTGGGACGGTCCTCACATTGAAGGGGGGCTCTACTCAGGGCATCTGCAGGTATATTTGCCAGCCCCCGTCTGTGCCTGATTCGGCAGTTGAAACCCTGCAACCGGAGGACCCAGCGTTTGACCCTGGGCGAAGCTTGGTCGGTGCTGAACATCCACGACAGGGAAGAGTGGTCGCAGTGTATCTCAAAGTTTGTAAACTCGAGATACGCCCTGAATTTGTCCACAGCCCACACCACTGCAAGGCATTCCCACTCCTGGACAGTATAGTGGCCTTCGGCTTCTGTGAGAACCCTGCTGATGAAGGAAATGGGCTGCAGTCCGTCGGGGCCAGCCTGCAGTAGGACAGCTGCAATGCCAATGCCGCTTGCATCCGTTTCAACCACGAAGGGTCGATTGAGATCTGGAAGGCTCATAACTGCATCATGAGCCAAGGACTGCTTGAGCGCAGTGAAGGCTTCCTCTTGACGCTCATCCCACCGCCATGGCTCGCTTTTCTTCAGAAGGACAGTGAGTGGATGTGCCGTCAGTGAGAAATGCGGTATGAAGCTGCGGTAATAACCAGCAAGTCCCAGGAAAGCCTGCAACTGTTTAATCGTGCTAGGTCGCGGATAATCCAGCACCGCCCGCACTTTCTCTTCATCTGGTCTGCACTGCCCAGGGGAGATGACGTGGCCCAAGAACTTAAGGGACTGACGGCAGACTTGCATTTTATCAGGGTTAATCGTAAGGCCAGCATTGCCAATGCGCTGCAACACTTCCCTAACATGCTCAACATGACTCTCCAGATCTTCAGAGTAGACGAGAACATCATCCAGAAAAGCCATGGCGAAGCTGTGATTGATGCCGTGCAACAACCGGTCCATCAGGGTTTGAAAAGTTGCCGGGCCACCTGCCACCCCGAAGGGCATTCTCGTGAACTCATATGTGCCCTGGTGGCAGATGAAGGCTGTTTTTTCTATGTCGGCCTCAGACACAGGGATCTGAAAGAAACCCTGGGAAAGGTCGAAGCTCGAAAACCACCTTGCACGACCCAATTGTGCTAGCAGCCAGTCCGTTCGTGGCATTGGGTAGGCAGGTATGCGGGTGCGTGCATTTAACGGCCGATAGTCCACAGCAAGCCGGTAGCCACCAGATTTCTTGGCAACAAGCACTGGGGCACTAGTCCAAGGGCTGGTGCTATGTCTTATAAGGCGCTGCTCCAAAAGGTCATTTACGCAGTCTTCAATGATCTTCTGCTTTTTTGCATTTACTGGGCGCAGCTTGCATCTCACAGGTGCACTATCTCCAGTGTCAATGCAGTGCTGAGCGAGGGCGGTACATCCAGGAATGGTAGTGAACAAATGAGAGAAGTCATCGAGCACCTTATTCATGGTTGGTATGCCTTCAGCTGGAATAGTGTGCCCAGGAATAGTGTGCCCAATGCCCGGGACCAGAAGCACTTCCTCAAATAGGCCCTGCAAGCAATAAGATTCACTATTTTCTATCGCGAGCGCGGCGGTTATATCCTTGTCGCGCTTAGCAAATGGCACAATGCACTGCGGATCAGTTCCAATAGTCCACCCCGACAACGCCACATGTAGGGACATGCCTGTTGCAGTCAAAAAGTCTCTGCCAAGCACAATGTCCCGACACAAATCTGGCACACACAGGAAGCGTTGGATGCGGTTGCTTGAGGCCCAATGTATCTTGCACTTTAAGGATGTGCTTGACTGTGACCAACCTGTGGCCAGTCGAAGAGCTCTTTCTTGTACCCGGTGTTTGGCGCCCGTCGCCTCCGCTACCCTTGCCGCTGGCGTACCAAGCAAACTCACACTGGACCCTGTATCTAGCAGGGCCAGGAATGTGGTCCGCCCAATCCGCACCTCCAGGAGAGGCTCCCTGTTGCCGGCCACAGCCGCTATCCGCAGCGCTGTCTCGTAGGTGCTCGCCGGAGTAGCACCTACCGTCTCCCGTTTCCCGGGCACTGGGAGCGGATATGCCCGATTCTGTTGCACTGATAGCAGCGGGGCGGACCGTTACGCCGACCCGAAGGGCACTCGCGACCCATGTGGCCTATGCCTCCGCAGCGGTGGCACGTAATTGCCCCGCCGTCGAGCAGTTGGTATCGCTGCGGCTGTGGTGGCGTGGGAACATGTGGAGCAGGTGATCTGTGCAGCTGGTCCCGGTAGTAGGACGGCTGTATCGCAGCGGGGTGCAACGGCCAGTATGATGCTGCCGACGG